ACTTAAAACGATAACCAAGTCTTCTATTTCCCTCTGCCCCATTCTCCTACAAGCCCAATAATAAGTTGAAAAATAAACAAGAGAATTATATACTACTGCAGTTAGCTTCTAAGTGACCCAAGTGATGATGGGATCCTCTTATGCAGTGGTTCTTACTCTCACAAGACCCAGCACTCATTCATTACAGGAGATGGTTTATTGTTTACTTTTAGCTATCCTGAAATTAAATTCATGCATCATATAACCTACCTACACATATAGTTATAAAAGTAATAGTCCAATGCCATTGGTGTGGTAAAAGGAGAGACAAAGGGATAACAAGTGATAATAATGTAATGTGCACTTCTAATATGTAAAGCACACTGGAAGACATGGCGAAGTAATTAGAGTCTACATACGCAGAAGCCTCTGAATGGTGCCTGCCCATGTACACTGCTGGTGTATGATTAGCGATTCACATGTGATGCCTTTCGGGATGGTACACAATCCTTGTTAAAGCGTTGCATGCAGCCAAGTAGTCTTCCTTCAGTTTACACAACAGTTGCATTATTAGAAAATTCAAAGTGTGTTAAAACCCTGCAAAATACACTTTGTGTTTATATAGGAATTAAGTCATTTATCAGATAATTTTTTCCAAAAGTAATTATCTGTTTACTTTTGCCAAAAGTGAATTAACATTTGTGTAGAAATTCAAGAGTTATTTGTTACTGTGACAACAGACACGCCCACGTTTCTAAAGGTGGAACATGGTAGGACCCATGGGAAACCCCAAACAATTCCCCTTGAAACGAAGCAACTGTTTCAAACGTGTTGAATGGAAAGTCCAAAGCCACTAGCAACTAATGAGAGAATATCTTCCTAGCCTTCTGTTAAATCTTAATGCAAACGGCCTGGGAATGATGCTATACCTGTGGCATCTTGTCACTGAGTCACCTCTTTTTTCAAATGGATCATCCAAGGTTAAAAAAAAAAAGTACAACTCAATCTAATGATAGAAGGCTTTACTCTTAGTAGAGGCTCACCGGGCGTTGGAGTGACTGAAGGTTTATAGACACTCAGTGCAGAGTTTGTACTTTGAATGTATTGAAAAGCTAGGCTTAAAGTCTGAAAGATAAGAATAATCACAGTGGAGGGGCTGGGGATTTAGCTCAGCGGCAAAGCGCCTGCCTGGCAAGCGCAAGGTCGTGAGTTCGGTTCCCGCTACCGGAGAAAAACCAAAAAAAAAAAAAAAAAGAATAATCACAGTGGGATGGATTCCAAATATTCATACCTAAAAAACCCAAATATTCATACCTTGAGTTTTCTAAGCTGCATCCCTGTGTCAGTTTGAAAACTAGAAAGCATTATGTCTTGGTCTATATTTGAAATACTTTCAGTGAATTACAATTAGGGCTCAATCCTTGGTTTTAATTTAAAATCAATATAATAATGATACATGCAGCACAGTTTTACATCTTCTGCCAAGCCACTATTGAAATAATTGATTCTTAGCTCATTATACCTTGAGGATGTTCTATATTTCTTTCAGTTTATCTTTCACTTTATCAGAACCATATACACCATCTTGATTTCTTTTTCTCTGTTTATTTATTTATGTATTTTGGTCTTTTTTAGGGCAGGGTCTCGCTATACAGTTCTGGCTGGTCTTGAGTTCACTTTGTAGCCCAGGCTGTTCTCAAACTCGCAACAATGCTCCTGCCTCAGCCTCCGGAGTGCTGGGATTACAGACGTGCGCCACCACACCCGGTTTGTGTTTTTGTTTTATGTTTTGTTTTGTTTTGTTTCGTGTCGGCTACCAGGAAGGTCAGGTATTTATTTAATATTTATACACAGTAAATGTTTTATGTCAGCTTCTGATAGAACTCTGTCCCTTTTCCTTCTTCTGATGACTCTGACTTTACTTTCATTGTCCTCAATGTGCTGTTACTATATGCCACATTATATTTGGTTAAGAAATAGGATCGGGTATAAATCAGTGGTCCATCAAGTCATAAATCGTAAGCCCCTGGAACGATGCTTGGCATTCGGAAGGTGCTCTGTGAGTATTTACTGAATGACCCAGGGGAAGGGTCTGGCAAACACCAATTTCACGTTCATGTAGCTAGGAGTGAATGACCACGAGGGGGCGCTGAGCTCCCATTTCTCCTTGAAAAGGCCATTTCCCACAGTTCGGCCCGGCCCAAAGGCTTGGGGTAATGCGGTATGGAGTGGTGTTTTGTGATAATTGGATCCTGTATTTCTGAAAAGTGTTAGTCCTAGACGCCTGAAGAGTGTGCATTTGAAGATTCCCAGGTTGTTCCTGTGGAAACACCAGGTGCTGTCATTACCAGCCGTCTGCGCTGAATGTGGTCTTGCTTTCCTGAAGAGCCAGAGGCCAGAGCCGGGGAGAGGCACCAAAGGCCACATGAAAAGAAAGCACAGTGCAAGAATCTGGTGTTCTGAGCCAAGTGCAAAAATCTTTATTAAAATTCTTGAGACCCAGACAAACCAGACAGCTCTCGACCCAACAGTATGTTCAGGGGAGTAGAAGTAAGAAGACAGGGAGAAGAGCCGGGCGGGGCGATGCAGCCTGTGACCCCGTATTCTGGGCGGGCCAAGGCAGGGAGATCACAAG